TGAGAATTTTAAATTTTTTGAAAATTTTGAAAACATCAAAGTCCAAAAATTTTTTGAATCTTGAAGAATTACGAAAATTCGAAACGACCACATATGAAAATGTTTTCAACATTCGAAAACTTTTACTTTCGTTTGATCAGTTTTGTATATTCGACACTTTTATTTAGATAAAATTTGTTAGAATTTTACAATTCTCAAAATTTTTGAAAAATAAAAAATTTCTATAAATCTATTATTCATCATTATATTGGATTATTGTGATTTACTAAAATTTCGGAAATTCACAAAGTTTTGAAAGTTTAGAAAATTTTGGAATTCCACTCAAGTTATTTAAAATGGGAAACTTCAAAAAATTCAAAACTATCAAAATTCTAACAATTTTAAATTGCAGTGATTTTTAAATTTATATACACGATATATGTTGAAAAATTACGCATGTCTGCAATATTTTAAGTATAATTATAATTGTAAAAATAGCAACTATTATTATCAAAAAACACACAGACATATAACCATAAAATTAAGTAAACCAATTCGGGAGCATTCTGGTCTAAAGGGGAGAGTAGTTACATATGTTAATAATTGTGCAAAAACACCTGACGGTTCAGCTGACAAATTTGAGGAAAAAGCAAAATTTCGGATAAAATATATTACGAGAAATTTGAAAAAAAAAATCAAAGTTTTTTATTTTTTGTTTTAATCTTCAATCGTAGCCATTTTTTAGGCTTGCGCAAGATTATTTATAGAATAATAAATCGTGTAAAACTCTTCGTCAACGTGAAAAATGAAAACAATCGGTATGTGGATACTATGAATGTGTGTATGTATGTCAAATCAAACTTTCTGATACTACTTTTTGTCTATTTTCGCGGTGCACGTATGTGGGAAATTTCACTTTCAACTGTGTAACCAGACATTAATATGCGCATAAAAATATTAATAACTTGAAAAATATTATAAAAATTAAAAATTTAAATTAAAAAATTAAAAATTTACTTCTCCAAGCGCCCTCGCTTGACTTGAATGCTAGCGAAGCAGTAAATGGCACTGTGAATATTCTTAGAAATTATAGAGAAAATGCTGACACACATTTTTCTGATATATTATTAAAAGTTACCGAAATCGCTAAGAAATTGGATTTTGACATTGTCCTTCCTCGGAGAGCGAATAGACAAAATTTTCGGGCTACAGTATATTTTGCTTTGCTGCCTTTGTGCTTAAGTGCACATTTAAGATATCTACCCAAAATGCGCATCAGCGGCATTATTTTTAACACTTATAAGGAAACTGCTCCGATAGATGCATTCAACATACCTGCACATTAGCGATACCTGCCTTAAAATTTTTTAACTATTCCACGTGGTAAGCGCTCCTGCATTATTTGGTTTCATAGGGATTCAGATACCTTCCTCATTGAAGTAGTAAAGAAAATTCACTTAAGTGCTTTTTTCGGTGAAGCGCACAAGTTTTTCGTGCAAAGAAGGATAGGCAGCTAAGCAAAATATACTGTAATTATCGTGCGTCGAACGCTGAAGATTATTATCGAAAGGCAAGATCTATACCGCTATTGGATAATATTTTGCTCGATTTCCGAGAAAGATTGCCGAAAGAGACATTAAACATATTTGATTTGAACTTATTACTTCCATCTAAAATTGGAGAATATAATACGCCTGACGAAAAAAATAATGCTATCGAACGCGTAATGTCGCTTAGAAAACGATACGAACTTTTCTTAGAAAAAGACGGTATCAATTTGGAAGGAGAGTATAAAGTGTGGTTGGAACGATGGACAAATAAGGAAAGCGAAAAGCCATTCCCAAAATCAGCAGCAGAAGTTCTTGGTAAATGCGACGAATATGCTTTTCCACTGATTAACAAACTTCGCCGCATTCTGGTCACACTTCCAGCTAGTAAGCCTACTTCCGAAAGAAGTTTTTCAACCCTTCGCCTTCGATCGGAGCAAAGTCCGGACGCTGATTACGGGTATTGTCTTCCCAGAAAGCGCATATGTATTCCGATCTGCCTTATTTGAAAAACATCATTGTTGCCCACACTAAATGGTTTACTGCTTGGGAAAAGGGATATTTCCATACCACATCTCTATACATGGGCGTAGCAGGTAGGGGCGGGGCAGGGGGGGGAGGGCGGCGGGCCCACTTAACTTCCAAATTTTTGCCTAGATATTCAAAAATAGTTCCCCTTTCAAGGTTTTTCCTATATATATACTGTATAACAAATTATACTCCCAACGCTAACAAAATAATTAGTAAATTGATTTAAAAAGTGGATATGTGGATCATCCGGTTCTGTATCAAGTTATTCTCTCTACTTCAAAACACTTCCATTTAAAAAGGGTAAAACCTGGCTGCAGTCGACAATGAGCAAAAATAGTTCAATAGTTTATTACTTTGTCTTTAGGTTTGTGTCTTTTCTAAGCGTACAACGAAAGTTTTGTATCACAGAACCAATCTGAGATTATTGATAAAACTATAGACCGGTTGGGTGAACAGCCAAGACGTTTACTTCTTGAGTGTGACACAACAAAATCAAGTAATATGTATATCTATCATAAATGAATATACCAGCATAAAAAATCTACATACAAAAAAATGTTCTATACGTCCATACATATGTATGTAATTTAAGATAAGATATTTCGCTGCAAAGCAATGATTATACATTATTAGTTTACCTAACAAAATTGCGGAGGAATATTATAGAGTATACGGAAAAGGAAATTTTTTATTTTGAATAACGTCTGGTCCGGCTACTTGGTAAGTAGAGCTATGAATTTATAAAATACATCAGGGTTTAGTTGAGATATTCGCCTTTGACCACTATGTTATGTACACTTCCCAGTACTGCAAGCTTTTGACTGTCATTCACCTGGGAGTAGCCAGAAGTAATTCGTGTGCTTACAGTTCAAATCGCAGCTCACTATGTCCGGATAATTATATCCATAAATCCTCTGGGTACCGACCGAATACTAGTTTGGGAGCGAGCTAGAATGGGAGGGCGTAACACCCCGCGTTCGCTGGGTTTGGGTCCCGCCACATTGCCCAATGTAAAACACATGCATCGGTTGATACCCCCTTCTTTTGATGACGATCACGGCAAACATAGGAAGGACTCTGATTTGAGGGTATGCACCTGGAATATCCGAACCCTTAATCAGGAAGGGGCCTTTACCCGGCTGGTTGATGTCCTGAGGGGAATAAATAATAAATAATGACGTCAACGCCATCTACGAAATGCGATGGAGGGGGCGAGGACGGTAAGCGTGGAGCCTTGCGATGTCTACTACAGTTGCTACGTAAAGGGACGCAAGTCGGTGTTGGATTTGTGGTGGGAGACGTTCACTCTAGGGGACGAACGTCTAGCCACAATCCGCATCAAAGCGAGATTCTTCAACATCTCGCTGATATGTGCCAATGCCCCAATGAAAGAGAAGGACGAGGCATCCAAGGATCTCTTATCATAGAGCGTACATATTAGCGCTGCCTCCGACACGTATAAAAATCGTGCTTGGCGATTTAAATGCCAAGGTGGACAACAAAGGGATCTTTGGCGCCAGTGTCGGAAAATTCAGCCTCCACATAGAAACGGCGGGCTGAGGCTGATCGACTTCGACGGGGCCCGAAACTTGGCAGTATGTATTACTGGGTTCTAGCAGATCCATCAAGCTACATGGATGTCTCCACATCGAAAAACGGGAGACCAAATCGAGCATGTTGTGATAGACGCTCCCTTCCATTTCGTTTGGACAATAATTGCTTACGAAAAGATGTAGTAACAAAACAACTTATCACAACTAAAGCACAGTGAATTTTTCACAATTTTTTTTATTCTTTATAAAAAAATTATACTAAATACATCAAAAAAACAAAACTCAAGATATTCAATAAATTTGCATACAAATTTGCAACTTTTTAATTAGGCTTTTTATAAAAATTTTAAAAATGGAGTTTTGCAGCCCATTAAATTTTAGTTGATTTTTGGTATTGTTTTTACTGAGAGTTTCTTCCATACAAACTATGTTCGACAATTCTTTTTATATGGAAGACACTGTCAGCAATAAAAATGGCTAAAAATCAACGAAATTTTCTGGCAACTTCAGACTTGCACTTTATTAATTGGTACAAAAGGTATATTTTCAAAATTTTTCTAACAGATCTGATTAGAAATTGTGATTTGATGAAGAGTCTCCGAGCCAATAATTTTGTACGGCACTGTACTTATAAGCACTCTAGGTTTCATGAAAGAAAAAAAATTTGAGTACAAGATAACATTAAAATATCAGTCAAATTTTTCGTTGCTGTGGACTTGTTTCAAAACTTCTGACTTTTCCTTACTATAATTGTAAAACTCTGTGCACGTCATTTTTAACGTATTTAGGTACATATGTATATTAATCATCAACTATTGCTTGTGCAAAGTTCAACTATCTGAAGATGTAACTATTTCACAAATGAAACCGGTGCACTGAGAGAAAGAAGTTTAGAATTAAAAAAACGTGCTAAATTAAAAAAAATACGCATATGAAAGAGCACCAACCCAACTCGTAATACATTTAAGTAAACACATTTTATTATTCAGTCTAGAAATATTAAATTCAAATACGCCCATATAAAAATGAAGCGCTTTGCACTTAACGGAAGCTTTTTCATAATTAAGTTAAAAAATATATATGTACGATTGAATGTTTATTCAACCAATTATATTTAAGTCAATTAAGCAATTACAAAGTTAATTTAAAGAATTCAATAGTATGATTTAGTAAAAGAACTATTAAAAAGTTGGTCTGGCAACCCGCTTATCAGTATGTGAGGAGTAATTTTCGCTGCTAATTAAAGAAGGAAATCCAATAAACAAAGAACACTAGACATACCAAAAACCAACAGAAATATATTTTAAAAGGTGCTTAACAAAACATAGTAAAGTTCATTACATAAAACCTATAAAATTATATTTTGAAAACATATCAAAACATAGAAGCAATGGCACCAAAAACAAGACTTAATAGAAATAGCCAACAACACAACGGTAAACTAGCAAGTGATGATGAGAGCAGTGAAGAAGAAAATGCAACCAATGCAAATCTAACTCTAATTATTGACAACTTGAACGAGCAATTTAAATTGCAAAGTAAAGCAATGAGAAAAATAAAAGAGTCACAACAACACATCAGTGATACTTTTGACGACTTGAGAAAAGAAATCGACAGATTAGTTGAAGAAAACAAAACAATAAAAAAAGAGTTGAAAGAACTTAAAACAAGCGGTGAAAATGTTAAAACGAAGATGAGAAAACTTGAAAGGGACTTGCTAACAGTGAAACAGAAACAAAACACAAACAACATTATAATAACAAACATGCCAAAAATACCAAACACTGACTTAAAAGAAGCAGTAATTAAAATAGCTGCGCAAGTGAAGGCAAACATAACAAAAGACAACATAATAGATGTGTATCAAAACGAAAACAAGAAATTCAAAACGTATCCAATTATTGTAAAAATGAATAATCAAGAACTAATAACCAAATGCATCGATTTTCGAAAAAGAAACGAAATTATTGATTTTAATAAAATAGCTCCAAACTTGAATATTAACATGCGTGGAAAAAACATCAATGTTTACCAGCTTATGGAAAAAGAGTTTAGCAGCGTTTTTAAGAAGGTCAAACAAGAAGCAAAAGCAAAAGGCTATAAGTATGTTTGGATAAAAGATGCCAAGGTGCTAGTGCGAAAGGATGATAACAGCGCTACCATACTAGTCGAAGAAATGGAAGATTTAAAAAAACTTCAATGAATAAAATTTATATTATTAGTATATAAGGTATATAAATGCCGATGAAATGTAGATGGCCAATCTAAATGTAGTTAACTCTGAAATAGTACAAAGTAATATAAAGTATAGTGTAAACAAGCTTTTATTTGCCAATAGCAATGAAAATATCAATATACTCTACCTCAATATCCAAAGTATCAGAAATAAATTAAATAACCTGGAAATCCTAATTAAAGAATATAGTAAAAACAAAATAATTCTTGTAATAGCACTAAGTGAAATATGGATATACGCGAATGAAAATCCTTATTTTAACTTAAAAGAATACAATGCCTATTTTTCCAATCGCAGTGTAAATAGAGCTGGCGGATGCCTAATCTATGTCCATAAAAGTATTCCTTCAACATTGGTATCATCAACCGAGTTTGAAGCAAGCAACCTTTTAGTAGTTAAACTAATAAAAATAGATATCAACATTGTATGTATCTATAGATTTTGCGCTTCTGATGTGGGAAATTTCGTAAATTATCTGGAAAAATAAATTCTAAAAATAAAAAACTCAATCATACTAGGGGACTTCAACATTAATATTATAAACATGAACAATGAAGCAGTGAACTACTTTCATTCTGTATATAGTAACGGTTTTATCTGTTTAAATAATATAAATAGTGACATGTATACTAGAAAGGGCATCTCATGTTGCACAATCATTGATCATATTCTGTCGGATAATACTGATTTCAATTATATAATATCTTTAGATGACAACCCTATTTCAGATCACAGACTAATTTCCCTAGTTATATGTAATAGCAAGGTAGAAAAGAGAAGACAAAATAACGAGATCGAAATCTTTGATTACACTAAATTTGATGAAACTAATCTGATAAACTCTTCTATAAACAATACAAATTTCTCGAATTTCTATACCTGTCTCTGTCAAAATATTAAAAGCTGCAAAAGAACCATAAAAAATTGAATAATTTAAAAAAATCTTGGATGAATAATGAGTTACTTTCACTAATTAAAATTAGAAATAAATTCTACAAATTAAAGAAAAAATATAATAATAACCTGTTTTTCGAAAACGAATTCCAAAAATACAAAACTAAAGTACGAAATAAAATAAGTAATTCACGTAAAAAGTATTATGGTGAGCAGATAGAAAATAATATTGACTCAAGTAATAAAACGTGGAAAATTTTAAAAGAAATAATGTATGGAAAGCCACAAGAAAACAATACTGATATAGTACAAATAAAATATAAAGAAAAGACTGTAACTGATTTAAAGGAAATCGCTGTGTCATTTAACGACTATTTTACCACCGTAGTAGCAATACCTCTGACGTCATAAAATATTTCTGTTTACATTCACTGTGGCCAACTTGATGCTTTTCGCACCAAATTTAGTGGGTATTCAAAACGCGAAAATTTTGAGTTTGGTGCTTGGTGCGTTTTCGGTGCTTTTGTATTTAGTCTGAGGACACCAAATTAGAAAATCCTAAAAAAATCTAAGCAAAATTTATAGCAACCGTAAGTGTGGTAAGCAGCTTTACAAAAATTTAAACAAATTCATGGCACAGTGACAATCATAAGCGACAACAAAATATGTGGCAGCACCTTCAATCATGCCAGAAGAAATCGACCGTCGTTAATTTGAATTGGCATTCTTACAATAAAATCATGTATGCATATAAAGTCCATAAAATAATAATAATAATAGATTGGCGCTTACACATATGTTAGTGTTTGGCCGAGCTTCTCCTCCGATTTGTGGCGTGCGCCTTGATGTTGTCACACAAAGTGCAAGGACCTACAGTTTACGCCGACTCCGAACGGCGATTGGTTTTTTATGAGAAGCTGTTTTTCATGGCAGAAATACACTCGGAGGTTTGCCATTGCCTGCCGAGGGACGACCGCTGTTAATAAAAAACCTTTTTTCTAAATTTTTTTGCGATGTTGCTTGAACCCAGGTGCTGTGGAGTGGAAGCGCGCACTGCTTACCACTACACCTTAGCGGCCGATCAAAAAAGTCCATAAAATACACCAATAAAAATTTGGTGCTTTTTCAAATTCATAAGTTGGCAATACTGCCTTTTGTTCGATGCTTCCTCTTTTTCTTGTCGAGTTCGTCTTGCTCTCTCATTCTGGTAATTTTTTACGTCACGACCAGTTGCTCTCAGCTCGATTGGCGCAATCTTGTATTCTATCATTCTTGATTTAATCTCAGTTATAGCGATCCATTGGAAATTATAAATGCCATAAAAAGTTTAAAATCTAAATCAGCATATGGAATAGCCGGAATATCTGTACGCTTTGTCAAAGCATACAAAGAAACACTATCTGCACCATTAGCTGAACTTGTTAATGACTGTTTCCGTTCTGGGAAGTATCCTGAAGAGCTTAAAGTAGGTCTAGTGGTTCCCATACATAAAAATGGAAGCAAAGAACTCTGCTCAAATTATAGGCCAATAACAAAACTCAGCACTATTGACAAGATTTTTGAAAGTATTGTTCTAACAAGGTTAAAAAATTTTCTGAGAGACAACAGCGTAATCGATAAAAATCAATTTGGATTCACGGAAAAATCAAATACTTTATCAGCATGTATTAACTGTACAGAATTTATATACGAATATCTGGATAAAAAGAAATATGTTGCCATGCTGGCAATTGACCTGTGTAAGGCTTTTGACTCCGTTAATTCACAGTTCTATGCAGACGATGGCACGTTCTTATATGCAACAGATACACTAGAAGAATTAATTAATAACATAAAAACCGATTTGCAAGTGGTTCACTAGAAATCTTCTGCAAATTAATTTATCAAAAACCAATTTTATCATTTTCAATAATTTTAGAAAGATTCCTGATAGAAGTGAACTTCCGGGAATACTATTCAATGGCACTTATATTTCCAGGGTAGAGAAATTAAAATATCTCGGTATACTTCGACTTCACATCAACGACTCACTCTCTCTCTGTACGTATAACAAAATAGCCGAAATCTGTGGCATACCGCACGACGTAAGCCGACCTCTCCATCTTACATTCGGCCTTCTTGACCTTCGTCATCTGTCCCAGATGACAAGAGCTCTTCGTTCTGTTCGACAAACCGCCACAACTTCATGTTGTCGCAACTACTCATAGTAACTCTCGGACCCTCGACCTGTGATGCTTTCTTCATCTCACAGCGACCATTGCCTTTAACCTTGGTGACTTCGTATGGACCCAAAAACTTGCTTGCTAGTTTATGGCCTGAGACAAACTGTGTTCTCTTTATGGCGACCAGGTCGCCTATACTGTAGATGTGTTCTCGCCGTTTTTTGTCAAAATTTCGTTTGTAGACTCTCTGCGCTTGAATTATATTGCGCCTTGCTTCTTCACGTAACATCTGCCGATTTTCGTTGTACCGCGTAATGATCTCGTCTTCAATTAACTCTAGTAGACGACCATCTGCTTGACTAAACATCTTTGTGCCAAATAAGATTTTAAATGGCGACAACTTCGTAGATGCGTGCACGTACGCATTAATAGCCCTCTGGACTTGTGGGACAAACTTATACCACAACGTCGGTTCACCCGCAGACAGCTTCGCGATTACAGCTAAAATTGAGCGATTTACGCGTTCAATTCGGCCATTACCTCTGGCCACCCCTGTTGTTGACCAAACCTGCTCGACTTTGTGTTCGTTAAGGAAATCTACCAGCCCTTTCGCTGTAAATGCAGTACCTCGGTCGCTTACGATTTGCCTTGGAAATCCAAACACATTGGACCACTCGTTCAGCTTTTGTATTACCTCTTCATGTCCCGTAGATTTTGTTGGGAACAGCCAAACGAACTTGAAGATCCCGTCGACCATTGCCAAGATATATTTGTAGCGCTTTGTTGTTGCATCCATCGGCCCCAAGTGGTCGATATGCAGCGTGTGTAACGGCATGTCACCCTTATCGATGCAATTCAAGAAGCCCTCTTGTTTGCCCAACTTCTTGCTATGAACAATACATTTTATGCAGTTGGCGATAAATTTACCTACTTTGCTTTCCAAATGCGGAACCCAGTACTGCTGCTGTACCGAATGCATAGTCTTGGCTACCGAGAAATGACCAACATCGTGCGCTTCTTGTATCACCTCTCGTTCCATCAGTTTCGGCACCACCAGTAACTCGTTACCCTCGACTGACTTGAACAGTATACCACCTTTCAACATGTAATTTTCGTACGGACGATTTTTAAGTATTTCGATGATTGCTTTCATATGCTCATCATTCTGCTATGCTCTCTTAATTCGCGCTGAAACCTCTGATGTGACGACCAAAACCGACTGCGGATAACGGCTGGGATAGTCGACGTGCTTCATCCTGTTGCCTGCTCGATGCTCTACGTCGAAGCAAAAATCCTGCAGGTACAACACCCACTGTGCAGCTTCTCGTGGTACGACCTGCTTAGTAGTGGTTTGTTTGAACGCAATACAGTCCGTAATCAACTTAAATCGGACACCTAGCAGGTAATGACGAAACTTCTTCAGCGCCAAATACGCCGCCTTAACATCGAGAATGTAGCTGTGTTTTTTAGATTCTCCCTCTGATGTCTTCTTGCTCCAAAAATACACGGGATGGAGCCTGCCATCAAACTCCTGCAGCAAAACAGCACCAAAGCCTTCCTTCGATGCGTCAGTATGGAGCTCAGTCCTCGCCCCTCTCTCGTATATACGCAACACAGGTTCATTCGTTAGATGCTCTTTCAATTTGTTTAATGCATCTATTTCTGCTGGCCCCATATGGAAGTCAATGTCTTTCTTTAAAAGATTTGTCAACGGACGCGCTACTTGCGCATATTTCGGAATAAATTTCCTGAAAAATCCTGTAAGACCCAGGAACGCCTGCACTGCCTTAACATTTAACAGAGTAGGGAAACGACTGACAGCTGCTGTCTTCTCTTTACCAGGCCGGACTTCGTTGTTGTCGATGACATGACCGAGAAAATTTATTCGCGACTGAAGAAAACTACACTTCT